CCTGCGTTGCTCTTTATGATCTGTCCAGACAGTTGATGCGTTCAATCAGTTGTTGAGAATTTATTCGTTGTAGGACTACGTGTAAGAGAATATATTGAGGCTGTAGGCTCAATCGTATACTGATTACTAGTTTTCACATTCAATTTTCAAAAGGGTTTGAAAAGCTAAGACTAGAAGCTTTCGATGGTCTTTTCTGTTAAGATTTGACACTTCCGACTGCAGACACATGAGACAACACATGGTCGTTTGAAGCAAAACAAGATTTTCATGACCCCATCGTTTACTCACTGTGATGGGCGTAATCACAGAACTTTCACAGGCTCCCCAGGTTTGAGCCAGCATACCTGGTCACTGATTCCTTCCTCCTGGAAAGCCTGACGCAGCTCTTGTCCAAACTGTGTGAAATGATGCCATGACTCATAATGCATAGGTACAAGGTAGTCGGCCTTGATTTCGCGGAAGAGTTGAGCGGCCTGCTTGCCATCCATGGTGATCTGATAAGGGGGGCTGCTGGGGTCTGTCATGTCCGTAGGCGCATGAGCATTACCGAGGTTGACGATCGCAGCACAAATATGGAAGCGCTCTGCCATCTGCTTCAATTCCTCCACGTAAACAGTATCACCCGAGAAGTAGATTGCGTTAGGGAGACCATCGCGGCCATGACCAAAGTCCTCCCCGGTCAAGATAAAGCCGGTACACTCGTTACCAACGACGTGCTTGGTTGGGGTGCCAATAACCTGGAACTTCTTTCCGGCAATGACAACTTCCATTTCTTCCCAGGGCTCGAAGCCATGAACTGCGGGCCGAGGGGAGAGGTTCTTCGCACCGTCAACAGTAGTGAAGACTCGGCGCCCATCAAGCAGGCGGCGACCGAGGTCGTCAAGGTTGTCGACATGGTCTTCATGACTGAGCAGGACTGCATCAATGACAGGAAGCTGATCTAGGCGGAGGGCAGGGTCATCCTCCACTTTGAGAGAAAATTTGTCGGTCATAGGGAAAGTTGTTCCGGCAGGAGAGAAGAAAGGGTCGGTGAGCATATTGACCCCATTGATCTCGAGGATGGCTGTAGCAGTGCCAATATGGGTGATGTTGAGAGTGGGTGCCATGATTGCTGATAAGCTTGAGAAGAGGGGCTGATAGATGAGTGAAAGACTTGTAGAATTGAAGGTACTGTCTGCCGATAACTGCGCAGGGCACAATATATAGATCTGAATAGTACTTAGTACTTGGGAATCTGGGCAAAACGTGAGTATCTTGTTAAAGTAGGCAAGTCTTAGATGGTCAGTACTTATAGCTGAAACTTTCTAAGTGGCACAGCACAAAAATTTAATATTGTTCACATAATAGACTACTAATGATATACCCAGCCTGTAAGCATCTTTGAAATGAAGAAATCTGATTATTTCGGCATCCCGCCTTCGGTATCCCTCCTCATATACGGCAGATATTCTCAATAATTCTATCTCTAAATACAAACAATTTCTTTTATGAATCAATCAATCAAATGCTGGTTATAATTGTTTCGGGGTCTTTTATTTATTTATTAATTTTCTTCTTCTTTTTTTTTTTTTTTGCTGAAATAATAGTCACATATAATATTCCAAATAAGATCTGAAGAGTGGTAATTCATGGCGTGGCAACCTGGAGCGGGAGACCGAGTGGGATACCGATATGGTATCTTAAGTGGGGCACGACCCTGAATACTAATCCTTAATAACAGAAGTATATGATCGATTACCAAGTACCCTTTCCGCCAATACATGTTGCAAAGGTGCTGATTACCTATTGGCATTTTGGTGTTGGGTTCATCCGTGGAGCGGGTGCAACAGCGGCCACTTCGGTAACTGCGTCACTTCTTCTCGTCACTTCCCGGCATCCCTCTTACATCCTCGCAAGAACTGAGAGCCCCGAACCAACCAACGATAATGCCTCCCCCAAAACCTACCAGGTCACGCTATGGCTTTCGATGTGGTCATCCAGGTTGTGGTGCAACTTATCAGCGGAGAGAACACTTGAAGAGACATAGTGCGCGTCATAATGATGGAGAACGCCTCTCGTGTCCTTATTGTGAGAGTACTTTAGCCCGGAGGAATGTGCCATGCCCGGAGCACCTGAGCATCTGCTCTAAAAGCTAACTGTAGACCAGCGACCTGTTACGGCGTCATGTTCGAAACTATCACCCTGAGAGAAAGCCTCCACAGTCTCGGGCAGTAAAGGCCTGTCAAAAGTGCCATGCTCGAAAAGAACGCTGTGATGGCGGACACCCGTGCAGCCGGTGTCAACAACGGGGTTTGAGCTGTTCGCTTGATGTCAACGCAACTGAGGACGACAAGCAACAGGCGCTCGGAACACAGGAGGATCTGAGAACTGAGCTGAATGCATCAGTTCCCGATGCATCACGGTGGATCGCCCAGGATTTCATAGATATTTACTTCAGCGAATTTCATCCTGTCTGGCCTTTCCTTCATAAAGGAACCTTTGATCTTACCAAGGAGCCTTGCATACTCATACAGTCCATGCTAATGATTGGACTATGGATCAAGGGTGACCGGGAGGGGCGTGAGTCGGCGATGCATTTCCATCAAAAATTGCTGTCTGCTATACAGGCACAAAAAGTAGGGATTGTAGCATGATCGGTATTGTCAAACAGGGGCTGACGTCTTTTTAATCATAGTCTCGGTGGCATGTGTCGGAATCAACACCACAGCATTTCGAGATAAAACCTTGGCAGATGCCGACATACCAGAGCATTCTTCTCCAGCTTATATTTGCTCTGCTCATAGCTAAGCAGGAGGCGACTTTTGACCTGAACCTTCGTTGTCATCTGCCATCATCCAAGTACGAACTACTCACATCGCTCGTGGAAACCTGTCGGCAGCTGGGATTGTTCTCGTATCCGAATATGCTAGCTCAGCATCCCCTTGATGCACCAGTAGCTCTCATCTGGGTAAGTGTGGAAGAAGCTAAGCGATTCGGGTTGGCCCTTTATAAGTTATGTCGGCTATGTGGGCCAAAACAGATATTCGGTTCTGATGGTCAAAGTCACGGTGGCTCACAAATGAGTGCACTTCTTACGCTCGCAGATCTGGACTTTAGCATGCCAGACAGTGATGAGATGTGGAATGCGTCATCGGAGGAACGGAGAAGCATCCTACAAAATATGACTTTACAGCACTCTTTTAGAGATAACCGCGACACCAGTGGCTGGATATCCCAAGCATCTGCCCACTTGCACGATGATTATGTTAGTTTTGATTGGATTTGACAATGCCCGCTTCTCTTCCACACCATCAGAACGGTCGCATTAACAGAACAGATAGCCTATGTCGCTGTCTTTGCATTGGAATAGTGGGGCTTGAACCAGCCAGTTCAAGGAAGAGAAGTTAGGGCACTGAGGAATGGGGTTTCATGACAAGATATATTCCAGACTTATATTGAGTGCAGCTATATGCATTAAGGTTTCGCTGATAAGGCCGGGGTGTTCCCCGCGTGGCCTATAAATGGCTTCGGATAAACCATTCCTTCCTTCTCCGCAGCCATTCCTCTCCATCTCATGGCGCCCTCCCTCATCTCTCGCACCCGGACAGGCTGCTGGGCTTGTAGGGCCCGGAGGGTAAAATGTGATGGTACGATATTTCACCTCCGGATTGAATAGCCTCTGTAAGCTAATGCATACCAAAGAGAGCCATCCCGTCTGCCGTCGCTGCGCGCGGAACAACCGGGGCTGCGAATACAGCTTTCAGTTGACCTGGCTTGACGAATCGATCGCCAAGGGCGTCTGTCATGGAAGGACCGGAGTATGGTCAAAAAACGGCCGCAAGAGAATGGATGTCTCAAATGAGCACGACCTGGTTAAGATGCCGCGACATCCTACGCCCAAGATTTCGCACCAGCAGTGGATGTTTCTAAACACGTCCGCTGACGACGTGAGTCGGCTCTGTGTAGAGTACCAAAGGGGATGTGGCGGGAACTCGCTCGGTCATCCACGACGGCTGCTACTATCACCCGCCATGAATACAATGCCAGTCACGGCCCTGAATCGATCCAGCGAGGATCCCATGCTGCTGGCATTCTTTGAGACAGTCATTTGCAGCAGCTCAACCCTGGTCGACAATGTGCAATCGAATCCATATCGATACTTGATCTTGCCCATGGCTCTTAGTTCTGATGGCATCTATCATGCGGCATTGGCCATTTCCGCAAATACCCTGCGTCTTTCACAAGTGCGGTATCGCATTTCTGCTCTGGAACACTATCACCGTGCGCTACTCCACCTCCAAGGTCTTCTAGATCAGGATAGTTGGTCAGATGGGGAGATGGACGAGATATTGGGGCTTGTTCTGATGCTCTGTTGGTTTGAGGTATTGAGGATATCCAACACTACCACACTAGTCCAGACGTGAGAGTTAACACCATTAGATTTCAGATCATAGTCGTTCATCGTGGGTGACTCACCTTGATGGGTTCCAGAATGTCATGTCTGCACGAAAGCAAAGATATTGGAAAACATCGTCGCAGCACAGCCAGGAGCTTGTTGGCTTCTTCGACCGTTACTTTGTTTTTCACCTCGTTCTTGCCCGAACTGCCTTTCGATGGGATTGTCCACGAACGCATCCATGTCTTTCTGCCTTGCCTTCGAGTCCATCCTCGGATGTTATTGACCCTTATATGGGATTCAGCCATGCGCTGCTTCTCTTGATAGATGGATTGACTGATTTAGCATGGCAAGAGCGTGAGCTGGACATTCAGAGCGCATATAGACTGAAGCACTCGTTGGAGGTGCTCCGTCAGACGCCACCTCATGCGGATATCGACATGCACTCGGGGCAAGAATGTATGGTCATTGCTGAAGCAAATCGCTTGGGCGCAATGTTGCTCCTATACGAGATATGTTCGTCTTCTACATCAACTTCTTCGTGTCCATCTTTTACCTCTGAGGAGAAACGCCGCTATGTTCGTCAGATTCTCAATCTCATACAGGCGCACAAGTCCAACATGAGGCGCACTGCAGTGATCCCTCTATGGCCTCTCTTCCTAGCAGGTTGCTGTGCCTCAGACGACAGGGACAGAGTCGTTGTTCTGCAGATCTTCCAGGAGTGGGAGGCCATTCGTCGTTTTGGTGTAAGTCTATTCACCCACGGATACCATTTCACAAGCTAATGGTTTAGAACATCACCCCGGCAAGAGAAGTGATAGAGATGGTTTGGCGACGCCGTGACCTTAACCTAAATGAAATTGCTAATGACGCCATGTCAGAGAAGACAGCCCGTTTTGAGTGGGAACATGCGATGACGATGCTTGGGGGGTGGAAGCTAGCGCTAACATAGTCATTCATTATCGTATGCATTATTTTCTCATCCTGATGATTATTACAATCTAGGCCCCCTCTCACGAGTCTTACGTCCCTTCCATCCTGTCAGGTCACTCAACTCCAACTCCGGATCCTGATGGGCTAGATTCTTCGCTGTCACCGTCTGGCCTGCGCGCCATTGCCACTGCCGGGCAATGTCGGACTCTAAAGATCCTTCCAGCAAGTCGGCAATGTACTTGCCCAGCACGGGCAGGAACTTGAAACCATGCGCTGAACCTCCGGCAGCAACGTACAGCCCTTGATGATTAGGGTGCGGTGAAATCAGAAAGTGGCGGTCAGCGGTATCAGCGTCCCAGCACAGACGGGTATAACAGAATGGACGGTCGGCGAGTTCCGGTAATACACGACGAAGGTTCCGGCGCATCTGAGCTTCGATCTCCAGCGGGAGATCATCTTGCGGATTGTCCACAAAGGTGTGCGGAACAGATGACTTGTTTCCGGACCGTGTGTCCGTCTGCATGTTCGTGATGAACTGGCTGTGTGCCATCTTGAACACCCCGTCTGCCTGCGGCGGAAAAAAGTAGCCCAGCTCCAGATTATCCATGATAGGCAGTGCGGAATAATGAGCTGTCTCCGCCGGGGAGAGTTGTATATGCGCCACACTGTGGCCTTTGGCCGTCAAATGGCCCGCCACGTCCAGCAATGTTGGCGTCCAAGCTCCGGCAGCCACCACGACCAAGTCAGCAACATGCGTTGAGCCATCAGCCGTGATCACTCCCGTGCAACGCTTCGCCTCATCGAACAACAACCTCTTGACCCAGCCCTCTTCATCAGAGATATACTCTACCCCTTGCCCCTGTGCTGCGGCGGCCATGCGCCGCAAGGCTTCCCCGGCCGCCGCCCAGCCAGCCGTCGGATTCCAGACGTTGATATTCCACCCATCCAATTCACCCGTCACAAGGGGAAACCGCTCACGGATCTGCTGCGTCGACAGGCGTTCCAATCCTTCAACTCCGAGCTTGGTGCACGTCTCAATCGACCCTTCCACAAACGCGCACGACAGCTTGTATGCGCTCAGAACCCAGCCAGGGACATGGTACAGCCCACGAAACAAATCTGAGGACTTCCAGGCGGCAATCGCCTCAATTCCCAAACGAGCATACAGCGGCTCGTTATAGTCGCTGCGAATGATCTTGCTGATATCGGTTGAGGCGGCCTCGCAGGATGGCGCGGGATATCGATCGAGCACACGAATGGACGTGAAACCGCGCTGAGCGAGATGATAAGCGGTCGAAGTACCGAAGCAGCCAGCTCCGACGATGAGGATTCTTGTGTTCCGGTTCATGGTAGGATAGCCAAATATTGGATATGATTCTGGTTCACACCTTCACCACTCAACTGAAGTATTTATTTATCTAGCTATGAGTATCGAGCAAAGCTATCAACCAACAACCAACGACTGTAATCCAGAGACCCTCGGAATAGTATCCAGAACCCCTCAATTACCAATCACTCGGAGAGTAGTTAGTTAGTATCCACGTCGCACCGACCTGCCTTCCCCTCAGCCATCATTTCACCCCCTCGGGGGATACTAGTAACGCAATCCCTTATCACGATAAAGCTCCTCCCAGCAGATAGCAAGATAATCAATCCCCCCCCACCCAACAGAGAACAGAAGAATGAAAGTAAGAGCCCAGCAGACCAACCCGGGCCTCGTTCCGACCTTCCCCCTTTCCTCCCGCCCGTTTAATCATACCTACTTATCATCTGCAAGGATCCATCCCGCTACTGATTCCCCACTTTGAATTCATGGCTTAATATGATAGGGTGGGTATAGAACCGGCGTATGCATACTACTCCTATTCTATGCTATCTACGTAGTCGGTAGCTACTTACTTTAATGTTAGTAGGTTCTTATCGGTTAGATGTTGGGCCACATGATTCGCTTGTCTCGGGGTTTACCCCGCTCGTTGATATCGAGGTGGTCATTGGATGGGTTGATCATACTACTACTGGGTAGTACTATTAGTAGTGTGTAAAGCGGAGAAAGTGATCATTTGGAGTAAGCGGGTTTGGGGTCATTACGAAGTGGTTGGTATATTGTAGGTACCCTGTACGTTTATCTGGTGATTGATGTAAGTACGTACTGCGAGCAAGATCAGTGATCACGAATGAGGGTGTAGCGATATTCTAATGTTTTCAATTACTAGTAATAGTATTATTCTTCACAATGTCATTATTGTTTTCAAATCTATACTGCACTAATATGTATATCGGAACGATCTCTTCTCTTTATCCGTTAGATCCGAAAATGCCGCATCCTCCGTGACAGTAACAGACTGCTGCTCCTGCTGCTGCTGCTGTTCACGATCCCGTCGCTGATTCTCCCATCTACAAAGTACGCCGTAGGCTGAGATCGCGACGATCGCAACAACCAGACAAGCCAGCAGGCCCTCGTATCCGTGCGAGTAACTCGGGGCATCCGTGGAGCGAAAGACCTGCGGACCGATGATATTCCCCACGCAGTATGCGATAAAGAAGATAGCATTCAGAGTCAGTTTTTTGGAGTGACCACTGGTATTAGCCATAGGGAGCGAAGTGGATAGCACGTAGGGTGCCCAGTAGGTGTAAAAGACGTAGTAGGAGGCGAGGAGGCCGTGTTTGTCGGAGCGGGGCAGTTTCCACATGAGGATAGCACAGGCCATAGGGACAAGGTTTGCGACGGCGATGATGATACAGCGGGAATTGGGGACACGGGAGGCGAGTAACGAGAGCAGGATCTGCCATACGGTGGCGAGGACACCGGTGGGGATGCCTAGGACGGTGGTGATCAGGGAGGAATAGCCGAGTCCGGTGACAATGAGGGCGGAGAAGGTGACGAGGCCGCCGTTGGGGATGTTCTGGGCGAGCGAGAACAAAGCTAGGAGCCATGTCTTTGGGTCGAGGAGACATTCACGCACTTGGTACCATTTGATGGTTTTATCTTCCATACCCGTGTTGTTGTCTTTGACGCGCTCGAGGCAGACGAACTTTTCGCGGTCGGAGAAGTACCAGCATTGGACTGGGGAGTCCGGGAGGAAGATATATAGGACACCTGACCACAGGATGGAGAATGCGCCGAGGACAAGGAAGAGTAGTCGCCAGGGGTGTAGTGCTGTGTGGGTGTGTCCGATGCCGTAGCTGACGACTCCAGAGAAGACCGACGACAGTTGGTTGAACCAGAAGGCTACCCGGAGAGGTTGTTCACTCGTTTTCCACCACATTACTGTCAGAATGCTGGAGATGGGAAACACCGATGCCTCGAGCATGCCCATGAGGAAGCGCACTGTCGCCAGACCTGCAAAGTTCTGCGTAGCGGCCGTGCACAGCATCATGACTGCCCAAGCGAAGACCATTCCCACGTAGAGTTTGGCTACGGGGAGCCGCTGGATGAGTAGCGCAGCAGGGTACTCGAAGAGCAGATAGCCAAAGTAGAATATCGAGCCCACCCAGGAATATTGGTTGCCGGTGAGATGGGTATCAGTTTCCATACCGTAGATAGCGGCATTAGAGATGATGACCTTGTCGACTGCGGCGAGCACGCAAGTGACCATGATTAATGGGATCAATATCAAATCAATCTTCCACAGCACGCGTCGCGCCTCTGCGTCGGAGATGGGTTCCGCCATGATGGCGGGATCAAGCTGGGCGAGAAACTGCACTGCAACATCTTCATCTTGCCCCGTCCGATGGTCGAGGATGTCCATCTGGCCATGCTTAATCTTCTCCCCATCGGAGGCGCTGCTGTCGAGGCCAGGTTTCTTCTGGTCGGTAGTCATGGCGGCCAGTGTAGCATCTGCATTGATGAGGTGGGAGAAGCACCCCGACCATGTCGTCGAGTGTCAGTTTTATAGCATCATATAGATGCACCTGATAACGACGTCGGCATTTGTTATCAGAACTCCATGCCCCGAAAGGCTAAGGCGAGGGGAAGGTCGGAGCGAGGCCGATAACAAAGTACCGTTAAGGTCCCATGATAGGGCACGATAAGATAGCGCCGGCATTGGAGCGAGCGCTGTTGGAGATGAATGCCGGAGGCCACTCTATAAAGGGGCACGCCGACCATTGGGAGAAACAGTTCAGTGCACGTCTACTGGTGATATTCAGTCAATAATCATGTCTTCATCGAAGCTCAATATCAAAATTGCCATTGGTGAGTTGCGCTGCCTGAATTGGGCGACCGCAAAGCTGACATTTGTAGACCGTGGTGGCACATTCACCGATTGTCTGGGGATTGTAGAAGGCCGCAAGGAAGATATTGTCGTCAAACTGCTTTCGCAAGATCCAGCTAACTATGCAGATGCCCCGATTGAAGGCATCCGCCGGATTCTTGAACAAGCAACTGGAAAATGCTTTCCCCGCGACCAGAAACTCACCACATCGGATTTTGGCAGCGTCAGTATCCGTATGGGAACGACGGTCGCCACGAATGCTTTGCTAGAGAGAAAAGGAGAAAGAGTGGCGCTTCTGATCACAAAGGGTTTCAAGGATGCACTCCGCATCGGGACTCAGTCGCGTCCTAAGCTCTTTGCTTTGAACATCCAGCGACCCGACGTGCTTTATGAAGATGTGGTCGAGATCGATGAGCGAGTCACTATAGAGGGCTATCAACAGAATCCTGTTCCAGATAAAGAACGCCTCGAAGCGGCTTTGGAGACAGATCCTTACCTGAAGAAGGGAGTCAGTGGAGAGGTCATCCGTGTCTTAGAGCCTCTCGACGAGGCGAAGACGAGACAGAGTTTGCAAAAGCTTTTCGATGAAGGATATCTCTCCATCGCTGTCTGTCTCGTACACTCATATACATTCCAAGAGCATGAGTTGGCTATCGAGAGGATTGCCAACGAGATCGGATTCACGCAGATCTCGCTCTCTAGCCAGCTGCTTCCTATGATAAAAATGACCTCTCGAGGCGCTTCAGCTACGGCAGACGCCTACTTAACGCCGGTGATTCAACGATATATCCAAGGTTTCCGATCCGGCTTCCAGGACGGGTTACAATCGTCAGACACGCGCTGCGAATTTATGCAAAGCGATGGTGGTCTGGTAAACTTTCAAAAGTATTATCTTCTTGCCATCTAGATAGTCCGAGTTAAAGCTCACCGTGCTTAGGTTCTCTGGTTTGCGCGCTATTTTGTCGGGGCCCGCAGGTGGTGTGGTAGGCTACGCAGGCACCTCGTTTGACCCAGAAGACGGTAAACCTGTTATTGGGTATGTTTTATCTCGGGCGTCAGATTGAGGAGGATACTCGCTGACCGAATAGCTAGGTTTGACATGGGCGGCACCAGTACTGACGTCTCACGGTATGACGGCAAGCTAGAACATACTTTCGAGAACACCATCTCAGGAGTGACAGTAATGGCTCCACAGCTAGACATCAATACAGTAGCGGCTGGTGGCGGCAGCATTTTGTTCTGGCGGCACGGGCTCTTCGTGGTTGGACCAGAATCTGCAGGTGCACATCCAGGGCCAGCTTGCTACCGCAAAGGAGGTCCATTGACTGTGACTGATGCAAATTTGTTCCTGGGCCGCCTGCTCCCGGACTATTTCCCCAAGATCTTTGGGCCTAACGAGAATGAGTCCCTTGACGTCGAGGTCACTCGTCAAAAATTCACGGAACTGGCAGATAAGATTAATGCAGAGACAGGTCACCGGAAGACACCAGAGGAAATTGCGCTGGGATTCATTCAAGTTGCAAATGAATCTATGGCAAAGCCCATACGGGCATTGACCGAGGCACGAGGATATGACACTTCAGCACATAACTTGGCCTGTTTTGGAGGAGCAGGTGGACAACATGCATGTGCAATTGCATCGTCATTGTCCATAAAGACCGTCATAGTCCACCGTTATTCGTCGATTCTCTCCGCATACGGTATGGCTCTTGCTGACGTGGTGCACGAGGCCCAGGAGCCTGCGTCCGGAGCTCTTACCGCGAGTGCAATGGAAATAATCAATGGCCGTGTTGAGGCTCTCAAGGCAAAGGTCACCGAAGCCTTGACCGCAGACGGTATTGAGGAGACTCGCATACATTATGAGGTGTACCTTAATCTCCGCTACCAAGGAACGGATAATACTCTGATGGTCCTCAGACCAGATGGCGGAGATTTTGGGGCAGCATTCATTCAAGAGCATCAGCGTGAATTTTCCTTTACCTTCCCAGGTCGCAATATCCTAGTCGAAGATATACGTGTTCGTGGAGTAGGCAAGGCCATTTCCGTCCCCCTAGAGGCGCCGCAGCCCGAGTTGCGATCTATTACGACATTAACTATTGGAGAGGAAAGCCGGGACGATTCCACAGAGGTGTATTTTGCAGGCGTCGGGCGTGTCACCACGCCAGTCTTCTTCTTAGAGCACCTGAAGCCAGGCAGCTTCATCCAAGGACCAGCCATGATCAT